TGCATCAAAATGTATTTATAATTCGGAGCGTGATCGACAAAATAAATAACAGCTGACGATTCAGGGTCACTCGGATCGCTTAGGCCCCGATATGTCAGCTCAATGGACCCCACACACTCGCGGACACAAGTGTCATCCAAACAACGGATGAAAAGAGCGGCCACAATTTGGATTATCGTGTGATTTATTGAACCACAGAGACGACGCACTTTCAAAACCCAAGCCCCGGACTTGCATTGAGTCTCTCCCCATATGATCCCAAGGCGACAAAAGTATTTCCATTTAAAAATGCAGCCAAAGCGACGGATTTCGTAACACGAATGCAAACTGCACAGGTGAACAAGTTTAGGAGAGGCCCGAAAAAATTATACATTTAACACTAACAAATAGCAGACCACATTTGGGTCTGTTTCTTGTATGTGGAACACTCAAATTTGGTTCAGGTTCGTCGTGCTCTTATGTCATTTGTTGTCATTATGAAAAAATTATTATATTAATTTTGTGCCAACAAAAAAAAACTGGAGCGCAAACAACAATAGCCGGCAATTAAATTTGGGTCTATGATGTGTCAAAAAAAATATATGTCTCGGGCAAACGACAAAAAACACGTGGCTAAAGCTTCAGGTGGGGTCCCCAAAAACAACATACAACTATTGCAGCATATTGACCATAATAAATGCATTTCGGAGAGCTACCTAATCTGAAATAAACATAATATATGGTCCCAGATTCCAAGAAAATTCGAGTGGGATACAGAGTTAACACGGGTTGCTAAATCGAAATAGTTTGGGACTTGTGAAATTAGAGGGAAGAGGCTCAACATTTTTATATTTACTAAATTAAAGATTAGTTTTTGGAAGGGCCAATGGAAAAACAATATAAATAATTTAAATTTAAGGTTAATATTCAGAAGAAATTTGTAAAACTGTGACCTTTCAGTCTAAAATATCTACTGGCTAGAAATCGTTGACCTTAAAACAAATTGCACTTATTTCAAAAACTCCTCTAATACCCGCTTCATCCGAAAAAAAAAACGCTCCCCATAGCATCCGCCTAATTGAGCCGATTCAGCTGGCTAATAAATAGGCGGCCCATTACAATTATCATTTGGTAACTCTTCATTTAGACTCCACCCAAAAGCTCTTACTAGAGATAAGCATCGGCTAACCAGAAATTAGCCACAATTGGCCCCGACCAATTAAAGATACTTCCAACTGCCAGACCGTTTTTCTTTCCTTTCTTTTTCAGAAATGAAAAAAAAAAATAAAAAACGGACAACAAAAAGTGAACCAATTTGCTGCTGCTGAGCTTTAGTTTCGTTATAATTTTTGTTTGGGCTTCCATAGTTTCGGGGCATTTGTTTGTGTAATTTTTAGTGTAATTATTTAAACATTAAACCAGTTGAGCGGTCAGTTGTTTGTTTTGTCAGTAATTTTGTGCTTGTTTTTTTCTTTTTCATGGCAGTGAAAACAAGAAAGTCATAGAGACATGAAAATGAAATATCATCACCCATCCGGGCAGCGTGTATCAAAAAGTGACTAGGCAAAGGGATATCCATCCGAGGGGAGAGAGAAAGATCTCTTTGATTAATCCGAGTGAAATTTGTTCAAAAACGGAAGAACAAAATTAAGTGCGATGATGGTTTCGTGGGGCAAAGAAAACTCAACGAAAAGCAAGAGAAATAAAAATCAAAGACAATCAACAGCTGGCCGAGAAAGAGAGAGAACCTACCACAACATTTTCCACCATTTTCCGATTTCCCGATTCCCTGGAACTGCGCATGACCCATGACCTTGAAGTGAAAAGGCTCCCCAATGTGGGCGGATTTTTCAGCGGAAAATTTTCACCACCCAAAACACCTGCTGGCGTATTCTCTATCCTCCACCAATTTCTGTTTGCCTGGTGAAAAACGTAATGGCGAGTTTGTGTGTTGACAGATTCAAGCGCCAATTTCTGCGGAGAGCCCATGAAAATGTGAAAAACTCTGGTCGAGTTTGCTGCGCTCCTAATCGAGGCGCCAGAGGGCGCGGCGACCCGACGGCGCCGTCGACGTTTTCCCATCAAATGCTCCCATCTCCCACGCCTCGAATTTCATGGTCTGCAGTTGGCTGGGGGTCCCGAGGGTTGCCGAGAGCTCCAAGGGGCTCCGACCGGGCTCTTGGCTTGACTTGGAGTCCGACACAATCAATGATTCGCTGCGCCCGGCGATGCGGTTGTCAGGAGGCGATGGAGCGCGATTTTCAGTCCGAGACCGGCGGAAATCATGACCGAAATCGAAATCAAGAGGCAGCGGCAAGTTCAAAGCCCCCACTGTCAGAAAGTGTAACCTGCGAAAATATTCCCCCATCGATTTTATTTCGGATAAAACAGAAGCAGCCGAACGAAAACCATTAGAAGGTGCTAGGCATCTGATGGCATCTCCCGGTGGTAATAACTTGTTTGAGCAGACTAATTGCCGCTGCCGGCGGTTCTATTCTCGTCTGGGACTCTGAGATTCCCGGGGCAAACCCTTCGATATCTCTCACCTAATGGCTTTGATTTTCGCTGCTGAATTAGCAGCAATTAAGGTGTTACAAGGTGATCTCTGTTTGCCCCGAAGAAAGCCTCGATGATAAATATAAACAAAGGTTAGCCCAAAGTTATGCTTGGCTGCCTTTAAATAATAAAGCCAGAAGGGGTTCTTAAGCCTAGAAACTAATGCCACAAAAATAATTTTATTTAATAAGTTCAAATTTGCATTTTATTAAGTTCTTAACATTTAAATTTAACCTTGAGAATATAGTTAATACTGATTTCAAAAGTTTTTAGATTGGGTTTGATTCGGAAAGTGAATGCTTAGCGAATTGCAACACATTTACAAATGCATTAAGTACTTTAAAAGGGCATTGAAATCAAAGTTTTATAGGAATATTTCATGGCACATTCTTCAGCAAGACAGCAGTTATCTGCTTAATAGTTCCTTCACCTCTGAGATGCACAATTTAATTTATATCTGAAAGCAACTTCCTGTATCTGTGTGCCCTTAAGAATACCCGTGTACCCGGCTAATTGCTTATAAGAAGCAGCTAATTGGCCTCGCCGATACATAAAGCCTGGCTATAAACAGAGTTGGCCTGGCCAAATAGAGAGAGACCTCTCAGACACTCTGGCCCATACAAAGATCATCGCTCAGAATGTATGTATAAAAATGCAGTAGAATGCAGTTAATGCTGCAGCCCAAGAGCTGTGAGTCACATGAAGGGCCACCTAGGAGATCCAAGATCCCATCGCACAGCCCACTCACAAACGCATTTTCCAATTAACGTGGCTTATCTAAAAGCCGATAGATTACCGACCTGTATTTTGACAGTCTCCCGGACGAATGATTAAACAATTAGCTGGCAGACAGCCACAGACACGTTCTGTAGATCCGTAGATCTGGAGACAAAATATCCCCCATCAATTACAAAAGGCCAAAGAGGGGGTTAGAGTCTAGATAACACTTGGAAAAAATTCTGACATTATTCGAAGATCTTTTGTTTCTAAAAAAAGAAGTATAACAAACGAATGGCTTAGTAATATCAGAAATAAAAGGTTACTTTCAGGGAAAACTCATAAAGTTTGCTAATTTTTAATTTTTCTTATATAACTTTTTTCTCTTTTTTTCAATTTTCCAACTCTACTATTTCTGCTTGCCATCATCAAAACATTAAGAAAATGATCTGCATTTTCTTGCTGTGCACTCAAAGCCACAAAAGAAAGTGAAAAATACTGGGTACTGGGTGCTGAGATGGGATGGGATGGTACCTTCTTCATGGGAGTCGCCGTTTACACTTTCCCAAAGCCAGCACGCAATCAGACAGAAGTGAGAAGGAGAAAAACCTCAATCAAAGCTGGCTGCATAACTTAAATGCAGAGGTCATCATCAGTCCGCCGGTGCTGGATAGTTGGATAGTGTGGGTTGTTTGTTTGGAAAGCGAGGGGATTCCGATGCCAATAGTCAGATGGATGGCACACGGAAACGCACATCACGGCACAAATGGCCGGCCGAAAATAAAAGGCCAGCCAGCCAAGAAAGAAAGAAAGAAAGAAGTTAACTGTGGCTTATTAACTGAAAATGAAAGCGTTTGCCGAAAAGACAAAGAGCCGTGTCCCCGTCCGGAAAGGCATCACTTTAACCGGTTTTCCGGCCCAGCTAATCACAGCCCCAGTTTTCATCACACTGCTACAGTTCCGCATCTGCAGTCGACACCCAACTGACCTCTGACAGCCCGAAATAAAAATAAAAGTAAAATAAAATAAATTTTTTGGGAGCTACCCATCCCAGAAAAAAAGCAATATACTAAATTCAAGCCTATTCAAATGTATAAATCGCAGGAGGTAACAACAATTAGCGTCACAAAAATCATATAAAAATGTCATTTAAGGTTAGTAGTTCGTCACGTTATCAGAACTCAAATCACTCACTTTATATACGTTTTATATGGTTACAATCAATGTTTCCGTTTATATACAGATCCTATAGATTAAAGAGAATGTACCGGGCAATTGCTCTGATAAGAAATTGTGTTTTTATAATGGAAAATCTAACAAAACCCTTAACTTTGTGAAATAATGAAGAATATATACCATAAAAATCAAATATTTTATATATAAACATATATAAAAAAACGAAAACGAAACAAAAATTTCAGCTAAGAAGTAGAATTTAACACTTTTCGAAAATCGTACTGAAATTTGTAATTATTAATAATAATATTCTGAAAAACATATATATATATTGAAATAATATTTTTAACAAATAAAGTTTTGGCTTGAATACTTTTGGAATCCTTCAAATTTCAACTAATTTAATGTAAACTTTTAATATTATGCCAAGAAGTCTAGAAGTCTATTTTCAAAAACAATATTAATTTGCTAACAAAGCTAATATTAAGCCCTAGAAAAGTACAAATTTTGAGAATTTCAAAACATATTTCCAGTTTCAAATAAAAGCCCTCCACTAGAGGCATTTGACTTACCTCGATTGATGACGATGGCGCTGCCGTCACCGCCGTTGGTACTGCTGTTGGTTGTGGTGCTGCTGCTGGCGCTGTGGTCCAGCTGGTCCCGGGAGGAAATATCCACTTCCGGATTGCGCTCCTTGGTCAGCTCCGCGCTCTGCTGATCCCCCGGCGGCGGCAGGCGCTCCTTGCCAGAGAAGTGGACGCTGCCGTCGCGATGGAAGTGCAGCTCAAAGCTGGCCGGCAATCCGGACTCGTAGTCCGCCGGGCGGCAGCTGTGCGCCTGGACGGCTACTTTGTAGTAGAGCGTGGTGAACTGATGGATGAGCGCCCAGGCCTGGTCCTCGGAGAGCGGGGCCTTGAACGAGTCCAGGATGTTGTTTAGGGTGACGCACTGCTCCGGGCAGGAGCACTGGTGGAAGGCCAGCCGGACGAGCTGGTGGCCCGGCAGCTTCTCCGAACTGCTGTGATGCTGGCCAAGGGACACTGCATTCTTGGGTGCCGCCTTGGGGGCGTCGCCATTGGCGCTGTCCGGCGAGGTGGAGAGGAAGCCCTCCTCCGAGTCCTTGAACTTGGACGGGGGCACGGGCGCGGACTCCGGCTCGGAGGCCTGGTGCTCCGTCATCTTGGCTGGCGATTCTTAGTTCGTCTTAGCACTGGCCCACATATAATTTACTTGCACTCGAGGCGCCCTTCGTGTAACCTACGAATTTCACAATTCTTGCTTGTTTTCAGTATTTTCCACTTTTTTTTTATCTGGTTTACGTTTTATCTGGTTTGGTTTTTGAACGAAACACAATCGGATTGTAAATGAAAGGAACTAAAGGCAATAATATTGCCGCACAGAATATCGAATATTTGTTTGTGGCTACTACATTTAACACAAAACACAAGGCAACGCGCGACGAGGGGGTAACGAAACAAAAAAGAACACACGAAAAACGAAAAAAGACGGAAAATTATGCTCGAGAATTATTATTGGTGGTCACGTTTTCCTGCACTTTTCGCATTTGCCGTTAGGTTTTCGGGGACTCTGCTTTGCGGCTTAGCTTCGCCATGGGATTTCACAACACTGATTAGGATCGATTAACTCGCGCGCACTCCTTGCTATCGATATATGTATGTATTTTTTTAAATATAATTTCTTATTTTTTAAATCTATGTACGTCTGTTTTAATCGCACTTATTATATTCACTTGTTCGCTTTGCGCTTTCCGCTTTCACGTCCGTTCGCGCCGACATAAAATTTCGCTCTGCCTTTGGAAGCCGTTCACAAAAGTCACTCAGCTGTTTGGTTGCGCTCTCTCTCACTTGCCATTCGCTGCGCTCTCTCTTTCTCTCTTTGGCTTTTTATTTTGATTCCGGTTTTCGCTGTGTTTCCCTCACCTGATAAGAAACTTTGACTTTGGCTTTGCCTTTGGTTTTGCTTTTTCTTTGGTTAAAGTTTATGGTGTTTGGTTTTTTTTTATATTCAGTAAATTTTGGTTTAGCTGCTGCCAATTTCGGAGAGTGATTCGTGTTAAGGTCAAAAGCGGGAGTCAGTGTGGGCCGCCAGGTGGCGCATAAAAACTTGTGCGTCGCCGGAAATGGTTAAAACTTAAAATAAAGCGTTAAAAATTGCAATTTAGAGTTGTGCTTAATGTGCCGTCGCAGAGATCGTATTGCGATTATATTCAGGGAGTAAAAGACATTGAGACGTCAGCGTAACCATTTTATCAAATACAATATATTTAAAGTCTACATACGATACATTTTTTCGAAAATTAATGATTTTATAGATTAGGGCTTTAAATATTATTATATTTCCTACCCAAAAACCTAATTTTGTAAGCGTATTGAGATGGCGTTTCTATAATTTCAAGCAAGCTCTTTAGGAAAAACCACCGCCTCATTAAATCGGAATTCGGCTGTGGCAGATGCCTTATCTATATAGCATTTCACCCGATCGCCGGCGAATATATTCAAGGTTCCAACCAGCAGCATCCCGACAACATTTGTAACTGAAAGATCGGTGACAGGCGCATTTTTACGAGTTAATAAGCCTTATAAGTACGACTGAGATGCCCCGCCCGCTTGCTGGCCAAGTTATGATATATGAGCCGTAAATTGAAACTTTATATCAATGCCGACGATTCGCTAGGGTAAGGGAGCAGGGGAGGGATTTGCATACGATATTATTACAGCATCGGCATCTGCGGTAAGCTTTAACGACTTGTTTTTGTCCGTTCGTATAAGAAATAATAATAAAAAGTAAATAAGCGGGAAAACAGAAGACATCTCTCTATACGTACGTGCGCTTTATTAATTGCACGAGGAGCCAGAGGAGCCGGGGCCGTCTGCCCACGTAATCATTGGATGGCCATAAAAAGTGTGTCCTCTTAGAGGGAGATGGCCCGAAGCAGCAGCAACACCCTAAGGCAGCTGCAGAAGCCAGTCACCGCCGGCATCCCATCCAGATGTGGCAATTGTCTCGTTTTATGTGCCAATAGCTAATGAATTAATTAGCCAACTGGTGGCTGCATTGCGTTGGCTTAACACCCGATAAAAAATAATAATTATTTGCCAAATAGGCAGACAGATCTTGGCTTCGACTTTGGCTTGGCGGGTTCAACAGCCGCCGGCGAACTTCAACCCACAATCGTCAGAAACTGCAGCTGGATCAGATCGGATCGCTCTTTGTTCTCCGCACAATATGGCAATGGGAATGGTAATGGGAATAGGAATGGTGGCCATAGAACCTGACTCGCATGAATCACCCACTTTAACTATAGCCATAACCCAACATCACCCACCAGAAACTCGACGGGCCAAAGCCAAATAAATGTGCATGCGGAAAAACAAAGCCAGTAACAAATGTGAAATGGTGTAGTTATGATGCTCAGTAAAGTGGGGAATATATGTATACCACATGTATTTAGATTTATTTGTTATGTATGGAAATAAATAGGATGTTTCGCTTACATGTCATTAATATTAAGTAGCCACCGAAATCTTAGAACTATTCAAAGGGTATCATGAGTATTTTTCTATTATTTTAAAAATTATTTACATATTGCTTTATTTATTATTTTATAAAATTACTTTATATTTATATTTACAGCATATTTCCCAGTCGAATCCCTTCCTAATCATCCCAATTCCCTGCTCGTTGACTGTTCTATGGGGAGGGTTCAGCCAAGCGTTGCATTTTTGGTCAATTACGTTTGTCGCGCGGGCGTCACTTGGCCAAGCTCCAAGCTCGGGCTCCAAGCTGGACTTAGCTCCGGATTCAGACGCGACTGCAGCGATATACTATTATACACATAGATTTATAGCTTCGGCTGACTTGGTCAGAGTGGTGGGCGTGGATTCTGAGTCTGCTGGGTCGCCGGCATTGCTTTGTCACGAAATGCGAGTAGCACCGGAAGTGTGCATCCGTTTTACGGCGGCTAAATGCTAGCATTTAGTTAAAAAAAGGGAATTGGGAAATGTGTGTCAAACGCGGCCAAGTCGAGTCACTCTTTTTGGCCAAATCTGGCTGCTGCAGATTGCGTGCCGCGGCGACTGTTGCCACATGTTGCTGCAACAGCCGGAGGATGCAACGCTTCGATGCGCCTGACACTTTGGCCAAGAAGTTGCATAAATCCACAGCCGGCAGGTAAATTGCCGAAACACAGTTGCACTTCTCATCAAGAAAACTAAGTAGGGGGCTTTAAATGGGGGAATTACCTGGGAAATGGGTGGACTTAAAGGGTTCTTTACTTAGACCTTAGCTTGACTTTGGGAGAATTACCAGAAATATTATAGGATTTAAATTGCTAAAGATTAAAGTAAAAATATGTTGAAAAGAGGGAAACATATTCTAAAAGAAAACAAGGTAAAATCTCATGATTTCCTTTATTAATACTTTCCTTAACTAACATCCGAACACCATACTTTTATTTCCTTCTAGAACCCGTTTTCATCTGGGCGAGGGAAATTAAATCTGTAAAATCTTTTGATGTGTTCGGAAATTGTTATTATTGTCACAGTCAACGTCTTGGCGTTCATTAAGCCAAATGGACAAAACCTGCCAGTCAGGCGTTCCGTCAACCCGTCAGTTACGGATCCAAACAAAGCCAGAGATACAAAAAAATGGATTCAGAGAGTCGGAAACCGAGAGTCAGTCAGTGCTCAGGGCGTAGATCTCGACTCACGTGTGGAAATCATGGCAACTAATGGCACTGCCTTTCCTCGACTCTGTCTCCTGGCCATTTTCACAATTGTGTAATATTCTCTAGGCCTTTGTTGCTGCTCTAAAAACGTGATGCAATTAGGCCTTTGCAGCACTGCAGCTCTGCTGTTGGGCCAAAGAATGAAGAATAAAAAAACAAAAAAGGGGGGAAATGGTGTAAAAAGGGTGCCCAGAGTTATGATTATCGTACGTGTTCCTTCTCGGGTAATCAATTTTTTCATGTCTTCATTACGATCTTTTATTTCCGAGTGTGAGAATTTTGTGCAAGATTTAATGGGCAGTCATACATGTACATGGGATATTCACGGGAGGCCTGAGAAAATCTAGAATACCTAATTGCTAATGTAAATCCAATAATCTGGCTTACTTTCTATCAGTTCTGGGTTAGTACTTGGTGTTTCTTTGCACAGAAAAAAAGGGTCTTGTGTTAAGAATATATACATTTTTAAAAAGATATTTTATTATCCTAATGAACATAGTTGTAATCAAGATTAACTCAAGCAAAGCTAAAATGATATACTAAACATTAGTTTGACCAAGTGTAAATTGTTATCGTTCAATATATATATATACATTTCTCTTAGTTCCCATTACTCATCGCCACATGTGGCACATTGACCCAAGTAAGTGCCAAATACCTGGCCCCCATCAGTTGACCCAGAAAACGCTGGGCGACAATAAGAATGTGTCTTATTCTCTCTCTCTCTCCGCTGGAAGTAAGTAATATTTTCTATTTTCTTTATGGTCTACAACTTCAATGATCACAATACGCATTATTTTCGCCGGCTATATGACATTCTTCGGGGGCTTAAAGTATCGGAGAACTTATAATCGGGGCGGCGGAAGAATCGCTCGGCGATCGTGCTCAAGTAGACGTGACAAGAGACCTGCGGAGAGCACCACCACTCTTCTCTGCCGATCATTTGATTTGGAGAAAGCGGAATCTTTGGCGGAAGAGCAGTCCGTGTAATCACCGAAATCGCAAAAGTCGCAGAACGATTCCTACGCTGCGGCGCTCCAATTTGTGTTCATGCAATTATTTCAGGTAACTCCGATTTGCCTGCAAGCCAAGAGGCCCATTTAAACGGTAGGGCAACATATTAAAGCTAAGTGGCACTTAAGACCCGCTCGCCCGAGAGCTGCTCACATCCAGAACTTGCGCAAAAAACCCTGACAGCCAAAGAGATTGTCTCTCTAACTACGAGTCTAACAGGGAGCTAAAGTGCACAGGGAGAAGAGTTAAGAGATACCTTTCAGATAAAGGTATACAAATAAAGGGATTTAAAAATGAAATAAAATATTGGTTTATAAATGAGAGATATTTTTTTTTATTTTTAGTTTCATATTTAATTATAAAAATTATAATGTGTTAAAGTGTCTTATTCGAGCTGTGACTAGGGCACTTTTTGTAAATTTTTCGTTGATCATTTCGGCTGCCTTCTATGTGCAATGCAATTTCTAAAACGTGATTCGTGCAGAGACAAATAATGCCAAACCCTCCTTCTCCTCCTCCACCGATCCTGCCGCAGACTCCCTCCCTCCCTCCTCCCCCAATCTCTCAGATCTCCAGTTTAGCTCAACAAAAGCCCATTAATATAATTTGTGTCTAGAGCCATTTCCATTGAGACCCACTCCTCACGCTCCTCGTCCTAAACGATTATGAGCTCCAACTCGGAGGCAACTTGATGTTGAGAAAACATGCCACAGTTTTTCCATATCGCATTGTTTTCTTTCTGTTTTTATTATTATTATTATTATTTTTGGCTGACGGGGTCACAAGTCTGCAAGTCTCACTCCCATTGTAGATCAAATAAGACCGCTGATCGTGTCGCCGCCGGCGATCGATTGCCATTCTGTGTGGGCTTTTCCCCCTTATTTATTGTACAGAATTGTCTACAACTTTTATTGGATGGCGCTTAAGTTTTATTGGCGCTCAACCAAAATGGGATTTTCATGGGAACAAATCGATGATCGGTAGCCCGCGGGGCTGGCATGTTGACAGACTCGATAAATTTGAGTTAGACGC